TGTATACCTGAATTAATAAAGTATGGGAAAATTATTTCAAATTCACGTATCTTTCCTTTTGGCTTTTTATCTGCTCTTTGTTTCTTTCCATTCATCTTCATCTCATCAAGATTCTGCAACCCTTTTCAATAACCTCACCGATTAGAAAAAAACCTTTGTTGGATTTTATGACTTTATGAATTTTATTTCAATTGAACTTTGGTTGAGAATACATTATGGGATGGTCAAATAATTACTCTTAATTTGATGGTTTGTTTACTTTGAATTAATCTACGTGGATTAGACTAAGGCTTACATCCATTGAAAGAACATAGACGCTTGCAATCCCGAGGATATGGAAAGCGTATTGATGAGCTTTACGACCTTAGCCTATTGGTAAACTTGATTAACAAAATTAGTTTGTTGAGCTTGCTAGCTTTGTTTTGATCAATTCATGCGTACATTTTTATGAGAACTCCTTAATTAGATTTGATTTTTTAGTTAGCAGGTATTTTAACATGCATAGTAAGACCATTTAAAAGACTTTGGGATCAACTTGGAATCAACTAGCTAGTTGAAACTCGGGTCATTGTCCTTGGTTGCTGGATCCAGTTGATTGATATTATATTATTTGAATTTAGGCATGGGGCTATTATGCTGATTTGGATCACCCAAGGGTTTATTAGGGCCCTTGTTATACATTTGTTATGGATTGAAAGTTGGGGTACATTGAGATGCTTTTTAATGCATCAACATGCTTATGAGTGCACTTTATATTAATAATGATGCTCTGAGTTAATTATGGATATATGTGCTGAATTATTTTTCTAGTATTAAATACATCAGCAATGGATCGATGTTTTAGTGCCTCTATATTTTTTATGCATCATCTCACCTCTTCGATGCTATGGGTGATTTTGATTTGCCAACATAATTGCCGACGAGGCATATGCACATCCTCCATATACACAAATTCTTTCTAATTCGTCCATTACCCCTGAAGGCACTTTGGAGTACTTTGATGCTTTGATGTGCTTTTTGAAGCAAAGTGAAGAAGGTCTGCAGTATGACATAGATTAAAATACTCTAAGGAGTTGGCACAGTGTACAATATTACACATTTGAAGAATGTTATTTTATAAAGGTCAAATTCAACATTCTAAAATAAGAGATATCTTTCTGAAATTTATGGGAAGTTTTAAATTCTTATGTATATGGGGATACTTTATGACTTCGTAAAATATAATTTGATTTCATTATTAATCCCATGGTTAATTGAAGATTATCAGAGTTTGTGTATCAATGTGCAAAGTGTATGTAATGTACAAGATTTTTTTTTTAGCTTCAAAGCGTAAAGTGCATAACGAAGCAGCATTTTATTAGCCAAAGCATTAATCGGTTATACACAACTATTAATGTATAAATATATTTATAATAATTATAAAATATGAAGTAAGGCTTAAAAACTGAAATAAATTAAAAAAATTATGATATAATACATAACTTGAAGGCAAATATTGAGGATAAATTTACAAATTAAAATTTTGAATAATTTCTAGTAGTTCATTGGAATTATTAATGCAAAAAAAAAAAAAAACCTGCAAATTAACTTCAAACTTCAAAACGTGCTTCAACGAAGCAAAGTGGGTGTCACATGCATCACTTTGCTATGCTTGCGAAGGCGCTTCAAAGCGTGCTTTCAAAAACCTTGATCATAATTTCTCTTGCTTATTTTTCAATTGCTCTTCAGATTTTTTCTATAATATATCTTATCTCTAAATTGTTTTAATTGAATTATAATCACATTAAGACATTTAGCATTTTTTGTGTAATTTTTGAATAATATGTTATGCACTTTTTTTTTTTCATCATAGAATTAAAATATAGCTGCAATTCTAAGAAATCCCTAGATCCTTTACATTATTCAAAAAGGCTTACTGTAGTTATATAATTTCTTGATGCATTTTATAACTTTGTTTGGCTCAAGGACTTTAGCTCGACATGATTTAGAAGGAAGAGCTATGCAATTGAAATTTTTTGCAGATATTAGGAGGTTGATTCTTTTATTTTTAAATGCCGCATCATATGCTCTTTTTTTTTTTTTACGGCATCATATGCATGTTCTTAGAGGATGTTATTCATATATTTTAATATTTGTTGTAAGGAGGAAATATAGAGGCGTTGATTTAATCCTGCCAACGGGCAGGTTTTTGGTTATTTTATGAATGTTATTTGCCAAAAGGTTATTTTACAATTCAAAAATTCCAAATAGGATTAATCTGATTTGAGTCGTATACATAGTCAAATGCTAGTTTATGTAATATTATAGGGATTGTGACTTATTCATGCTATCACTTGGTCTAAAATTGGACTATAATACATTCATGATAGGAATGTTAGAGGGTCCTATTTTTCAAAGGAAGAAAACAATTGTAATCTTTTTAGTTTAATATTAGATTTTGTATATGTAGTTTATTTAGCTGAATTGGACTGCTTCAGGCCTAGCATGATCTTGTGAATTGCTCTAATTTTGGAGCAAAATTTGACATATTTGCATAGCTCCATGCATAATTTCATTATTCTGATATTAGAATTAGAGTGTGAAATGTTGACAAATGTAGGATGAGAATTTACATCTAAAGCTATTTTAATTTCATGGAATTCGCTGATAGTAAATCGTTCATTTTCCCTATTGTCATCATTCATGTTCAAGTTTTCACCCTTATCTCAGTTGTCGGCAATTATAAACAAAATTGTGAAAACAAGAATAGTGGCAACATGCAATCTTGTGCACATCCTTCGGTTGCATTCAAATCTATTGATACTCTGACTTTAAATCAATCTTGGAGGATATCGCAACCCCAAACAACTTCATCAACAACTCATCGTTTATTGGGATCTCTGCAAACTTTGTACCATGTGTTTTATCATATGTTTCTTTGATGCTATGCAACTCGATCCAGAATCTCAGTCGTGCGTCTTGAATGGTCATTACCATGGTCTTGAGCGTCACCGTTGTCTCGCACAAACTAGGTTCACCGCAATGCATCACAATCTAGTCACCCTCCTAAATACTCGGCAGTGTCAAAATCAGTTTCTTACAAACTTCTCTGCTCTTCTCCACCCGTCTCGTTCCCATCATTACTCTTGAATTGTTGTTTGCTCGAAAGGCTGCTGCAATAAAAGGCACTGGCGCAGTTGGATACAACCCTCTGTCAGTTTCCCACCCACCGCGGTTTCCTGTTTTAGGCTGAAATCCTTCAATTCGATCTTTTCTAGCCTCGAATCGCATGTCGTCCCTTTCTGCTTGCTTCCGCTCATTCCCAACCTTCAAATTGATCTTCTCCAACCCACCTAGCAAACCTCCATCATCCCTGGATCGACCTCTAGTTGAGTTTGTGTATTGAATATGTTGTTATTTACCGTTTCAATGTGTTGGTTTTAATCTCATATTTGCTTTCAGCAATAGTATTTTGCTTGTCCGATGTCATTTAGGATAACTCCAATATCATTTGGTATTAGAGCTAGTCTAACCATAGTTCTATTCTAGGGTTTTTAGCATCTACCAATAACCAACCCTATCTCCACCTAAAACCCTTCCTTTTGCTGATTTTTCCAACCTAGCCACCCAAAATTTTTCTTTCTCACTCTTCCACCCCTCTGGCCCTAAACCCTATCCAAGTCGTTTATGAGAAATCTACAAAGAGATGTTCAAGTAATTACCATGGAAGAGGTGCAACGGGAAATCCTCCAACTCCAACGGAGTCTTCCCGCCTTTGAGAGGAGGTAGTCTGGAAGGGTTACCCCATAGCCGTAACGGTGACTTGTCAGATCGAAGAAATCAAGTGAATACTTTCCATCTTGTGGACTCTAGGAATAAAGAATCACTACTTCGAAGATTTGACTTGAAATAATTGAGAAGCTAGAATCTTGAAGGAAAGGTGACTGTTATATTTTGATAGCAACTGGGATTTGGAGAAGGTCATCGAGTGACTCCAAACCGTGGAATGATTTAGAGTACTAGGACGTCCTAACAAAAAGAATGATGAAACTAGTTGTCAACACGTTAAAGAAAATCACATCTTGGTGCTGGGAGAACGTGAAGATTCTTCAATAGCAAGAAGTGAGTAAAATTTCTACATGGTTTAAGATGATACGAGAAATGCAATGCTAGTACCTACCAGTTCATTACAAAGAGGGTGTTCAGACCCTTCTTCAAAAGGGGAGAGACAACATCACCGGTTGATCGTCACATATTGTATAGAGTTCAATCCCAAGTTCTTACAGCCACAGTACATCCAAAAGAACATCCAAGTCGACTCTGCCTAAGGAGACACTAGTTTAAAGTGGAGAACAAGTGGAACTAATCTGTATTCTCAAATATATACCAATCAGAAAGTGTTTCAAGTGCCACTAATTTGGGCTTACTGTATTAGATTGCACAATCAAGAGAATTCTCTATTTCACTGATCAGAGAGAAGTTAAAGAAATAAACAGTGATCTGGGAGAGAATGAAGATTTTAGAGAGGATTCTCAACTTTGATGCGACGAGAAAGAGAGTCCATCGATTCCAACTGATCTTATGATAGCGATTCCAGCTGACCCTGTGAGAGCGACTCCAGCATAGTTAACAGTAATTATTCTATAAGGGAATGTTGATATGGGAGGATTGACAGATTGGCTGTAATTAATTAAATTCATATTCACTGTCATTAGGAAATTGAATTGCCCCTCTGTGCGTTAAAGAAAAAAAACCGCAGAAACTGACATTCCGATTCTCAAACAAAATTATAAGGCCCTGAAGGTGTATCACCATCAAAATGTTAATGTGATAGTACTTTTTCTAGATCATGCAATTTTTATACTAGTTATCTTATTATTTCTTGCATTTTCTTGTTGATTTAATGATGCTAGGTGCCTACTGAGATTTTTTTTTGCTATTTATCACAGGAAGGAAACAACCTCTCTCTTTTTCATCTTGAACGAACAATTTTTTGCTGTTCTAACCTGCCATCATTTCAGGGTACAGATCTGAGACATGTATCTGCTGATCAAGATCAAAATTCAATGCTGAAGGTAATTTGCAACCAGCGTGATCGTTTTCGAGCACGCTTACGTGAAGCTGAAGAGGTATAATTTAAATAAAAGAAATTTACATAGGTTGCGCATAATTCTTATGTGATTACATCTCACACCTAAACTTTCATAATAACATCTATGCATGAAAAGATGTATTTCACTTTTAAGAAGTGGGAATAGTGTTATTTTTAATGTGATATTAAGGATTTGAGTGCTATGTATGCAAATCTGAAATTTCAGGTGTGAGATATGTAAATACATAACAATTGTGTGCTATGTATGTAAATGCCCCCCTTTCAATTATAATTCAGTCATTACCTTGCTTCTTTTTATATCCCGATCCACACAATAAAAGCAACACATATTCTAGGAGGTGAGGCTTTTGAAGGAGAAGATGAGTCTGTTGATGGATGAGCTAGAAAAAACTAAAGCTGATAATGTAAAGTTGTATGGGAAGATCCGTTACGTACAGGATTACAGTCAAGAAAATCTGGTTTCAAGAGGCCCTAAGAAGGTGAATTTGTATATTTAGTAAACTATGACCTAATTCGTGTTCCTCTTTTATTTACCTTTATGCGCCTTTTCCAGTATGCTGAGGATATAGAAAGTGGTTTCAGTTCGGATATTGAATCCAAGTATAAGAAGATGTACGAGGATGACATAAATCCTTTCGCTGCTTTCTCAAAAAAGGTGAGTAACAACCATATATAGTAGCACTGAATAATCTGAAGCCCTTAATAGTCAGACTTGTAAAGTTTTTTCTTCCTTTTGTTCTTTATCATCAGTTTATAGTTTGTAAGAAAATAATTTGGGAAATTTATGTACATAAGTATTGTGTGGTATGTATGTAAATGCCCCAAATAGTTTTGTCCGTATCTAAGTATGTTGTTTTTACTCGGTAGAGTTTGGAATTCAGGTTAGGATGATTTACTTTCTGAACCAACTTAGTTTCTATCTGTACGTCCTTTTTTTATACAATATCTCTAAGCTGAAACATTGCTAATGGATGCAATGTTATTTTTGTGGGAGAAAATGTAGGCTGTTTCTGATGAATGTTTATTGAAATGTGCAAATTTTTAATGCCCAAAAACCTTATTTTAATTGGTAGTTCTTTCACATGTTAGCAAATTTTAAACTAAACATAATCACTTACTGAAATTTTTGCGAGGTGCATGGTGCAATCAGCTTATTTAAATAGAGGATTATTTTTGAATAGTTTGTTTGATCTTCTTCTTAATTGAGGAAAGTATTCATGTTCTCGTCATGTAATCTTCTTTTATGTTCCACACTCATTTTCTGATAGATTTCTACTTAATTTAATTGTATATAATTGTATATTCTCTAGAGATTGGAATAGTTTAAAATTGTCTTTTTGGATGAATTAAGCTTGTTGAAATTTGTTTCTTAGCATTGAAATAACTTGCTCTGGTATTTTGTTAATTTGATTGGATATTTTAAGGTATCTACTCTGCCGAAAATCTGAGAACTTGTTTATAATCTGAAATAAATATTGGTACCATTGCAAATTGGATTGTATCATGTTCTGCTCTCCTCTAGTTTATCATTCATTTTGATTGATACCAATGTGGCTCTTTCTGATTCTAAAGCTTCTGAATAGAAGCTGTCAAAGATGATTTTATTTAATCGACTGTTTTAACTGTCATTCTTTACAGATTTGTTGATATGGAAAATCTTCTTTATTGAAACAGGAAAGAGATCAAAGGTATAGAGAGCTTGGTTTCAGAGACAAAATCACACTCACAAGTGGCCGTTTTCTCCTGGGAAATAAGTATGTCCCATTGCTTTATGAAATATTCTTACCTATTAATTAATCATGCACCATTGTTTTGAAATCCAATGGGCATATGTGATTCTTGGGACTGACTTTAACTTGAGCATCATCCATAGTTAGTCGAATAGCTTATGAATCCTTTCATTTTAGGGGCAGGGGCATTTACATACTGCATTTACATACTTACTACCCAATTCCTATGTATTTACATATCTAAAACCTAAACTTAACTTTTTAACATTTATACCGCCCAAATTCTTCATATCACATAAAAGTACTGCAATTTTAACTCCTAAAATGTGAAATACACCTTTTTCATGCACATATTTAGCTGTGCTGTCCTTATAATTTAAGAGCTTCCTCTATGTTTCAGTTGCTGATAGTTTATATAATGGGCTGCTTGCACAGATATGCTCGAACCTTCGTCTTCTTTTATTCCATCGGGCTGCACCTACTCGTCTTTGCGTGCCTCTACAGGATGTCGGCTTTGAGTTATATCAGGTGATTATAAAATAAAATACATAATTGATCATAAACAGCACAGTTTTTTTACCTGTAAAACCCTGCTTGTAGCATGCACGCCCGAGATGAAAGCTTCCTGCAAGTTGGGAATCAAACGCATATAAATAAATAAAAACCAATCTGAACTTCATCATACCAGTTTTCAGCTTTCAGCGGCGCATCAAAAAAAGGTACATAAAAGCAAGAGCTTTTTCAAAATCTTAGCTTCTTCTGCTCCGATGGGTTAAATGTATGTATATAAAAGGAAAGTTTATCAATCCTTTATTTGTTAATGTAAATTCGAACTAAATGAAATATTAAGCATTGTTGATAATACAAACTACAAACTTGTTCAATTTTTTAAGGTTTAAACTTCTTTCATCGCCATTATTATTAGTATTGTCATTCGCTTTATCCTGCTAATTATGACTTATTTTATGAATTGACATTTTTTTGATTTGTTTCTGTGATGTGTTTTGTGGAGTGGTGAATCTAGATGTTTTTTTGGTTTTTTTTTTTTTTTTTTTTGTTGTTTTAATTTTACTTTTTATGAATATGTTTGTTTTGTGCATTATTTATTTATTTATTTATTTATTAAAATAATTATTTTTTAAAGGAATTTTAGTTATGTAAATAGATAAGAGTTGTGTGGTATGTATGTAATTTTAGGTTATGAGACCTCCTAGGCTGTGAATGAAAAGCATTAATTATAATATTTGCAATGAACGAAGATACTAATTACACTATATTGTAGTTTTATTGAATTAATATTTACTGTGGATTTGATAATAAATAGGTTAAATATGAAAAACGTGTTTAGAAGATTCTGACATATTTGTGATCGATAGCGGTGTAAACGAGCCGAACACGAGCGAGCCCAAGCTCAACTCGTAGAGCTAAAAAGTTGTTTTCGTGTTCGGCTGGTTTGCTTAGCGAGCCGAATACGAGCCGTTCACAAACAAAGAGTCGTTTTGACAACCATAATCACGTAGTCATAAGATGTTAAGGATTGAGGCAAGATTTAAAACATCATTTGAATCTAAATTAATAATTTTTATTCTATTTCTTCATTAATACTTTTAATTGATTATAAAGCTTTGTAGCTTTGTAGCCAATTAAATTTTTTAAAAATACTACTCATAATATATATAAATATAATTGGTAGTATTTCGAGCCAAAACGAGCTGTTAACTTTGTTCGTGTTCAGCTCGTTAACTTAGCGAACGAGCCGAATATGAGTTTTTTAACGAGCCAAACACGAGCTATTCGCGAACAACGAGTCGTTTTGACAGCCCTAGTGATCAAGAACTATGTTATTGTTCATATTATTACATATTTATTTTAAAAATTAAAATAGCTAATTTTTTATTTTAATAATTTAACAATAAAACTCAAATAAATAATTAAAAAAAATAAATAGATAATTTGATTCTTAATGATAAAATTTTTTCTGTATTGCACGCAATTCTTATGCATTTGCATATGTAAATATCTATGAATTCTGTGTTATTATATGTAAATTTACCTAACTTAGTTTATTTGATTTAGAGAAGTATATTATTTTACATTCCCATGTAACACTAATTTTTTAATTATAATGTAGATGGCGGCCTTGCTTTTAATAACTACTTAGCGGGTGTTTGGTGACACACTTTTAACACGATTTAGTCATAAATTTCATCTCAATCCAACCAAACACTAGATAAAATCAAACCGAACTCTCGGTTAAATCCAATTCACTCCAATCCATCTTCTGGGAGATGTAAATCCAAAATTATCAAATCTGAGTGTGAGAAGGATTACATGGATTTACTCTTCCGTAGCGTGTGTGCTCCTCCATCGCTCGCAAAATTTCTCAGATTTGATAAATCCTATTAATATAAATCTACAGTTGCTACCAAACACTTTCTTAGGATCTTTTTGGCACGTCTTTTTTTTCTGTTTATTTATATATTTTAGATTGTCATCATAATCTATTTGAGAAATTATTATTTTTGTTTCCTAGAAAATTTCTAATATTGGGAGAAATTTCTTTCAATTTAAGATATGATTGTAGTAAAAAAATTGTTGTTTGATATTTTTTTACATATTTATCATTCTCATTGCTAATTTTTCTCCATCATAATTTCGTTCTGGAAAGTTGTTTTTTCTTTCACAATTTAACTATCACTTACAAAAATACATTTGATACGTGTCACACAGTTATTTGCTACAATTGCTGTTCCGACGGACGATTTGCGTAAATTGACCCAGCCATCTGGAAGGGTGGTGCACGGTAGGAAGGAAAGATAACCCACAGTAGTTTCATTGCATCCGATTTCTCCGTTCCGCGCCGGATCGGAAGTCCTTCTCTTCCTATTTTTCTCCTCACTCCGCTTCAGCCCAGATCGAGGGTAATCCCTAGTCCTCGTCCCACTCCCATACCAGGAGAGGAGAAATCGCTTCTACAATTTGTCGACGCGGAGATGCAGATCTTCGTCAAGACTCTCAAGGGCACCAATTTCGAGATCGCGGTAAACCTGGAGGACACGGTAATTTTCTCGATCCCAATCTCTTTCTCTCTTGAATTCTATCGATCTATCCTCAGATAATGTCGCATGTCACTTCTTGGATATTCACTCTTCGGTACGGATCTGATAGAATAATTTTGATCTATAATCCCTGGGACAAAGTCCTTTAATCGATACGGAAAATTCCATTTCTAGTTGTTGTTCTTGAATTAATTTGGGTTTAATTGTTATCGCACTGCAAAGTTGAAATTCTTTGGTTGGCTGGCGGTTCTTTCATCCTCGAGTGAATTGTGCTTTAAGGGGACGATTAATTTAGGAATCGAATTTGCTTAAGACCAGTTATGCATGTCTGTTTTGCAGGTTGCTGATGTGAAAAATAATATAGAGAACTCACAAGGAAAAACTGTGTACCCTGCAGATCAACAAATGCTCATATATCAAGGGAAAGTTCTTAACGACGAAACAACCTTGGCAGAGAATAATATTACTGAAAAATGTTTTATCGTGGTCATGCTGAGAAAGGTAAGCCATGCTGACTATCTAACTAGCTACATCTTGCAATATCAAGTTTGGTTGGCTGATGGAAATTATTCTGCTGGTTGTTTCTTGAGCATGTTCTTCTTACAAGGACTTTTGTTGCAGCAAGAAAGTGCACATTTCAATAAAGCTTATGTACACTTACTTTAGGATACCTAACTTTCGTTAATGTACCTTTTGAGGCCAAACCAGCGAAGATAGTATTAGTACCCGATTGATTGTACATTTATTGGGACTCGCCTTATCCGACATGCCTTGTGACATGGTTTAGGTGCCTTAAGTTTCATCCGGTTCAACATGCCTTCTAGTTAGGAATCGTAATTAATGATATGCCTTTTCATTTTGCAATACTTTGGTATTTTACCTATAGTTCCTTATGACTGCACGAATTAGGCCATCACATGACTCCCTCACTATATAGTTGTTGCCCAAGTAGTATAAATTCGACGTGGAATTGTTATGCCCTAGTATATCCAAAACATACATGTCAATGATGCAAAACAATGCATGTTACAGCCGATACCATAGGTAGCCTTCATAATATCTTCTTTTCCAAACTTGGTCAATTCACCCGATTTCAGAATATACTGTAAAAACTATTGCTGCATCTGCTGCACGCTAGTTGCACACTGCCACTGTTGGTTACTGTTGGGAATCTGATTGCGTAGCAGCTTGCGTGGATGTTTGTTGCAGCTGTTCCACACTACTTGCACGCTGCCACCGTTGGTTATTGTTGGGATTTCAATTTTGTAGCAGCTTATCCGGATGTTTTGTGATACTTATGTATTTACAGACGGTCTTTTGTACATGCATCTATTTTATGGTTCTATTATAACATGATTTTTTGTTGTGTTTTTTTTGTGATTTCTGGTTTCTGTGATGAATTTTTGGTCTTTTAGCGTCTATTTGAGCTTTTTCTTCAGCTCAATTTTTCCTGTGACTTTTTGTTGTCCGATTTTCTTTGAACTCTCACTATGTTTTTCTAATAACTCATAGTATATTTGAAATGATTTAAAAGATTGTTAGTCTGAAATATGACTAGACAGTTTTTTTTGGTAAATGCAATCTTCAAGTTTTCAAACTTGTGTATGTTAGTTAGATATCTCATTTATTTGAGGTGTGCCTGACTTACGTGGTAAAGCATCACTTTGTGTTTATGCAGGGCTTGAATCTTTTTATATTGGTGAACTCTTTCGTTTATCCCATTTCTTTTCAATATTTTGTTATTGTCTTGATGGAGTTTTTATTTTGTTCAAATTCGATTCGCTTGGAATTCTCATTGTGATATAAAATTGCAATTTTTCGCTATTTTTTTACTGTTAGAATTTCTTTTTTATTTTTTTTATTTTATTAGATCATTAAATTATCATTTGGGTTCTATTTTTTGTTTTTGTTTTTTTTTTGGCTTGTAATTTCTTTTTTAATGATATACATTCATTGCATGGTTGTATTGCATTAGAGAATCTAAACCTAATTATTTTTCATCACCTAGAGATTATGGAGTGGCATTTCCATCCACCAAATAGCAAGCGCATCTCCTCTAATGATTAATTATATGGTTATCATTATTTATATTTATCATTGCCAAAATACTATGTTCGTTGTACAAAATCCAATGATGTTGGGATCATCAAAATCAACGATCACATGCAAGGTTCATTTACAGTGTTATTTTTCAAAGATAAAATCTTTATTAACCAGATTTATGTAAAAGTATAAAACAATGCATGGTTAAATCCTGTTAAGCGAACAGATTTTCAGTTATCTCCATGTCCAATATATGTGGAGCTTATATAAGTCATCTAACACTTTGATCTTCTCCATCTTCATCCCCATAGGTACCCATTTAGTAGATTCAGAAGCCAAGTTAGTTTTGACATCTCTCTTTAAAATATCTCAAAAGTTATTAATGCATAATTCTAAAATTTTCCTTAAAATCCATTCAAATTTGAAAGATCTGACCACTGTTTTTATGTACTGTATTGATGCCATTTGAGCTTGGTTTGAAGAATGCTGACTCATGATGCCACCATAGTGATTTCTCTTGTCCCCTCTTTGAGATTGTAGTGGTGATCTACATCACCCGATATCATGATCTTAATGAACTACTGATGATACCTATGCTTCACTTTATTATTTTCACATTGTTCTAGCACCTGTAAAAATAATAAAAAAACTTAAATGCATCAGCTGATTACATGCTACCAGCATCCGACAACTACTTTTTTACTTTGTTTTTTGTTGCTTTGCAAACAAGAAATTCACCACTAGTCATAGAGATGTGTAAGCTGCTTCACTAGCGGAGGTGATGCACTCCTTATATGTGCTTTCTATTGCATATTCATGTTGTCCCACAAAATAATAATTTGATATGTTAATCTTTTAAAAGAAAATTACCTGTTTTGCTAAATGAGGCCTTAGTTAGTGCATCACTATAATTATTTATTGAAGTGCGCTGTCTGTACATGGAAGGTTGAAAGCCACAATTTTACATGGAAATTAAGGTTCTAAAACTAATGAATTATACTGGCATTTTCCTTAGTTTGAGGTTTTGGCGGGCAGTGGGGTATCTGAAGACCAACCTGACGTGCAACTTGTCCTCCAACTCCAACTATTCATCTAATCATGACAACTATTATAAGCGATATGCCCTAAATATTCCTGATAATCACAAAAAAACCACCTCTTCAATCTGCATGCTTGGAAGTTCTTTTTTTCTGCCTTTATTACATTGTGGATTAGTTTAGAGTCAACTGTGGCATATATTTTTATTTCTTTGTTGTCAAATCTTTTTTGCAGGCCAAGGGCTCATCAACTGGGGCTTCAACAACCAGCTCTATGCCAGCAAGTCAGGTAAAGAACGTGTTTTTGATCTGATGGATTGGGGTTTCAAGTCTTCTCTTTAGATTTTGTTTAATGTATGCTTCTTGGTTTGCCTATCCTTTGCAAGAAAACATTTCTGCTTCCTTTCTTCCCTGCAAGTTAACTCTGTAACCCTCAATTGTTGGCACTAATATATGTCCTTAAGCCTTGGAAGATCATTATTTTGATTGAATGTTGTGAAAACGTGGTCCTCTATGTGACGATTAGATTTTCCGAACAAAAAAAGCTTGTGAAGTTTTTAGGATTGGCCGCCAAAGAATTTGCTTAACACTATTTTGGCACTACATTTAGGAATATGCAGTGCAATTGAAAGAACAAGACACACTCATGTTGATATAACTTTTTGCCACATCAGATATTAAGCTAACCTTAGCGCTAACTTGAGGAACAACCATTTCACTTATGGTGAATAATTTGATATCGTCTAAAATAATAACTATCACATATAATTAGATGAAATTATATATATATATATAACACTTAGACTAAAACTAC